TGTGCGGTCTACCTGTTGAAGTCCTGTGCCCTATAAAAAACGATAAACTACAACAAAAATGTCAGATGTACGATGAAACATAAACAAATTTGTTGTTTTTTATAATTTTCCATTTTAACTGTATTACCTTTTTCTATATTCTGTATCCCAGTCCCCCCATCGCGTTATTGTTATTGTTATTCTTTTTGTGCCGTTGGCACCATGCTTGTCCACAAGCCGGTGTTAAATATATATACAGACCCCTGGTTGAATGAGTGTCTATAGCGAATTAAGTAGCTCATTCGTTACCAGAGGCGATATTTTTAAAGGATGTCCTTTTTCACCATTCTATTTTGTTGCGCCGTATACATACTATTGTAGAACGCCTCGGGTGGTCTCCAAAATATTGACATTGAATGGGTAAATTGAGTGAAGCTGTGAGGTTTAAGATGACGTTTGTTTAGATGTACGAATGACGCGCAAAATATACTTGCTAAACCAACAATCCATACTGCCTCTTTCGTTTTACGCTCTAAATTTACAAAGTGCAATAATGCTACAAGAATGGATTCATACTGGTGTTGTTTTGAAACTGTAGACGGTCATGAGTTGTCTTTGTGCACTGCATAGCAAAACGGTTCCATTTACAAACGTGAGCTTGTTTTCAATAGGGAAACCAATAGCATGTAGTCAGGAATGAGTCGTATAAAACTGGGCTGGGTAAGTGGAACATTCGAAGTCACCTCCACCCGTATGCTTCAGTTTTCAAGGTCTTAAAGTAAGATCTCATGATTTCTACCATAATGATATTTTTCTTCCATTGATTGTGACTGTATTTCTTTTTCTGTTCGGTCATTTTGCAGATGGAAGCTGATCAGACGGACAGCAGAAACCCTCCCTCGTAAGCATCTTGTTTGAATAATAATACTTATATTCTTATCACATTGCAATATTAAGCTGCCGTATCTCAACTTGTTGTTCCCATCGTTCAACTAGATCCCAATACCGTTGTGTTCCAGCTCGAATAAACATATATCGTAACTGTATAGTTCCCTCATAAGCACGTATTCTAGTCAACAAACAACAGGTTTTCACAGACTTTGTTAACAGTTTTGGGATTTAAATCTCTTTCTTTTCATTAGAGCTTTTTTTTAATTTTCGCCCTCACTCCAACCTGTATGTTTTTAACTGAAACGCTGGATTTATTTTTTACAGAAGTTATTACTATATAATGCAATACAATACAATTAGGTTTAGCGGTTCACACACAGATATATATATAGATATATATGGTATATCTCATACAGTAATAGTGATTTACCAAATTGTGGCTATTACTCTTATCTGATCACAATTGGGTCCTGAGTATAGGGGGAAAATGAAACGGTTTCAATGCGTTATTTTCTAGCCATATCCAATTTGTTTTCCTCCTGGTTGAGTTGCGCTATACTTTCGAGCCACCTCTTTTTTAATATGTCATCCCACAGATCCATAGGCGGTCTATCTGCTGCCATGGGAGGAATACTGCGTTTATCTGCCACGGAAGTCCTCGATCCCGAACTGGGCTATCCAATTAAACCGTATAATGTTTCTAAAAAGCAGTATCGGGGTCTTTGTCTTGTGATCAATCAACGCAATTTCGAAAGATCCACCGGCCAATCCCAACGAGACGGTACGGATGTGGATGCGGATCGGGTACATCGTGTGTTTCGCGCGCTTGGATATTGTGTTTCTTGTTATCTGAACGTTAATCGGGAGCGTTTTGGACAACTGTTAAAAGAAAGTAAGTTGAGGTTCCGTATGTTCACAGAAACCCTTTCCAAAAGTGGTTGAGGTTTCCCCGTTTTTATGGATTCTCACAGGCGTTGTTGTAGATCCTAAGCTGTCATATGGAAGTCATTCATCATGAGTCTTCGACTGCTAATATTCACGTAGGTAGGATCGAGCAAGTGAGTTGGAAATTTTACGGTAAACCAACAACCAGTTGAGAATGAATCGGAGAAAAATTTGTTATTCAGGTTAATCAACATCCCCGGTTATAGGACACGTATTGCGCATGCCCCGCTGTTGTCTACCGCACCGTGCCTTATTCACTGTTGCTTCTAGTTGTATGAAATCAATTAGAGGTTCACAGGTGAAGTGGATACGTGACCTGAAAGAATGTACAGAGCAATTCAGTTCTAGTTTTTACAACCATTAATCATGCACTTTCGTGAGCCGATTCTGATTACTGTCTTTTGGTCGCCCGTTTGGATAAATGTAGATCGGAATGTTTAGAGCGGAATCAAAGTGAATATAGAGAATTCATACAGACTGGAATGCAAGAGCGCCACTGTTTGTGATGTCAGTGATGTCACTCAGTGCCTGTAACTATAGGTTACCATGATCTAAGGGTCCCCATCCTGGGAGACCTATGTTACCTAGTGGCCTGGTAACCCAAGATCGATTAGGTAGATTAGGTGTCCCACTTGTTCCAGGTTGAAGTCCGAAACGCTGGTTGCTTGGGTCCCCTGAAGGATATGCCAATGAACCGTCCACGTGGTGTTCTTTGTCATCAGGTTAGAATACTTGGAAAACCGTGTGTATGCACAGTCAGCTTGTGTACTCTGTGTGTTGACTGCAGAGTTACCCCTATATTTCCTTACGTCAGCCAGCTCAGTTCAGTTTTTTTCGTGTGGCGGTTTTGGTTGCTGTCTTTATCCTAACCATACCCACTCTCTGTCCACTTTACACATTCTCACTTGCTCTTGTGAGCTTAGCAATGAACTGTGAAGTTTATTTTACTTTATTTCACTGTAAGATGATGCTTTTGTATAATTGACTTGGAAAAAACTTCCAAAAGGGTCTACATGTCAATACGAAATAATTGTTTTTAGTTCTTTCTCGTCATGGCTAATCGTATAGAGAGATCTAATAGTTATTCATAATGTATATTTTGCGGTGTTGGACGCAGTGATTACGCAATCATTCCTATACATCATTGTTGTCACATATTGAAAACTCTCGGGACAAGGTGCAAACGCTATTCATTGACACTGAGGCGGACCATGGGGCTGGTGGGGGGGGGCACTCAAGAGACCTAATGAGCGATGTGATAAGCTCAGAGTTCACGTTCCAGGTAGCAGAGCTGCGTGAGAGGTTGGTAACGCACGATTTATTCTGACTGCATGGATTCGTTTACGACTTGGNGACTTGGACAGGGTGGTGGTGGCGCAATGGTTTAGTCGCTGTCACCGGCGTTCGTTGGACCCTGTGATCCGAAGTTCGAGCCCCGCCACCACCACCCGACTTTGGTGGTAGGCAGCCCTGCTGTTGCCCGGTTCAGTACCACGCCTGACCTAGCGGGGCCTTATGTGGTTCACCACTCCACGTCTCGGGGCTTAGGATGCCGGTTACCATCACGGGGTCCACCCCGTCTGCTGTTTATCGCACACTGGTGTGTAATAAAAAAGGGGACATTCTGCAGATGATAAACTAGATCAGAAGGAACAGTAGATCAGAAACGATTAGATTATCAGGTCCGTTTGGAGGCTGCCTATATATACCAGAAATTCTGGAGATCGTGTGAATCAACTGACCACATGTATTGTTTTTGATGTCCCAACTATTTACGAGCGTCTACTGGG